TCTAAAATAAATAGCTGTCGAACCGTTAAAACTTGAAATTCCTTATAAATAGCTTCTGTAGGATAAATGATTTTCTTTTTTAATATTGTTTTAATAACAGCTCTTTGGGCTCTCTCTACTTTTATTAATGTTGTTTTGCAAGTTCCACCCCAAGCTAAATTACAGTATGATATGAGAGACTGGACTAAAGAATAATAAACTAGCTTTAAAGTTTTGAGGTTCGCTGAAGTTCTAAGTTTTCTGAAAACAAACAGGAGCTTCCTTATTTTTGTGGCTAGACTATCAACATGTGGTTTCCAGGAAAAACAACTGTCGATTTGAATACCCAAATATCTTATGTGAGGCGTTTTTTCCAAAACACAGCAGTTACAATTTTTTGCGTTGGAGCAAGTATGTGCCTTTATACAGAAATTATTTGGCTGCGCTCTCGTCGTGCTTGAGAAAGTAATAAACTTTGTTTTGTCTGTGTTAAGGGTTAATAGATTACATGATAGCCAACTCGTCACCTGTCTAAGAGCATTTTCTGCATTTATTTGGGCATCTTTCCAGGAAACACCTTTCACTATTAGTGCAGTATCATCTGCATAAGTGACTACTTTACAGTTGTCTATCTTAAGTTTACATAAATTATTTATATAAATTAAGAAGAGTGTTGGTCCTAAGACACTACACTTAAATAATATTTAAAAATTTCGAGGACATGACCGCGTATACCAATGCGATTTAGACTATCTAATAGAATTTTTACTGATACTGTATCGAAAGCTTTTTTTATATCGAGAAATATGCCTATAACTTTATGTTTTTTATCTATACTGTCAATTGCTGAGTTACAAAGGTCCAAATCAGCATCCTCTGTTGATTTGCCTTTCTGAAATCCAAATTGGTTAGAAGCTATAATATTATATTTGTCCAAAAAATTAAGCAGTCTATTATTTATTATTTTTTCCAAAACTTTAGAAAGAGTTGACAATACAGAAATCGGTCTGTAGTTATTTATATCATCTTTATCACCGCTCTTATGTATTGGGTGTACAAGACCAATTTTAAACTGATTCGGAAAAACACCGTTTTCAAAACACAGGTTACACACGTGACTGAGGGGAGAAGCAATGACCTGCGCTGACATCTTTAAAACCTTAGCGGGAATACCATCCCAACCTGTGGCACTATCAGAGCGCAACCCCATAATTACTGAAAAAACTTCAGCATCATTGGTTTTACCCAATACCATTGAGTTTCTACATTCCGAAATCGCCTCGTTTATTGTAAAAGTAGGAGTAGTAGGAGAAACTATTTTGTTTGCAAGATTCGCACCTATACTTGCAAAAAACTTGTTTACTTTGTTTAAAGAAGTGATCGGTTCGCTAGTTATATTTAAAAGTTCTGTTGCTTTGGTATTTGATTTGTTAATATGACCTATGTTCTTTATTATTTCCCAAGTTTGCTTTGGATTTCGCTTGGCCTTCTGAAATTCATCTTGTTCGTATTGTTTTTTAATTTTTTTAAAAAGGTTGGTGCAAAAATTTCTGTAACGTGTGTAAGTTAATCTTATTATCATATTTTCTGGGTTCTTTTTAGTTTGCATATGCAGTTTATCTCGATTTTTTATGCACCTCAGAAGACCAGTCGTCATCCATGGCTTTAGCACTCTACTTCTATTTGTAATTGAAATAATTTTTGTATTATTTTTCACAGCGTGGGATATTATTTTAACTAAATTATTTGCAGCAGCATTCGCATCATTTTTTTGACGAAAAAATTGTTGAATAGTCAGTGGTTCTCAATTCTTTTTCAACTGCATTATAGTCTATTTTTGTTTTTTGAGTTACCCTTTTGTCTAAACATCTTTTGTTTGAAAAACTAACTAATAAAGGTGAATGATCGGTGATTAGTGAGTTCAAGACCAGTGTGGTGGCATTCCATTTTGTTCTCATTAAGACATGATCTAGACACCTACTTTCCCGTGTGGGGAATAAATGAGCAGGTAAAATGCCTCGGGCTGCGGTCTGATTTAAATACTGCTCCGAGTGGGGGTCAGTATTTTCTGGTGTAATATTAATATTTATGTCACCTATTAACACTAAGTTTTTGTACATAGTAAGATTTTCAAGGGTTTCATCGAGACAGACAAAAAAGTTACTGTTAGGGTTGTAGGAGGGAGAACCGTAAATTGCAACAACAGCTAACTCTGTTCCCCAGGTCAATATTAAACAGTTTCCGTAAAATTTGGGGCACTAATTTTACAATTTAATTCTTTTTTAGCATATATTATTACCCCTTCATTTTGATTTCTATACGTAGACCCATAGGATGTGTACCCATCAATCTCTGGTATGGTGTGCGTTTTACTGAGCCAACATTCTGTCAAGATAATAACGTCGCATTTTATTTTTATTCTATTTAATAGTACACAAGGTTCATCAAAGTTTCGTAGTACACTTCGGATATTTACATGAAATAAGGTTAAATTGTCTAAATTTGTGTCTACATACATAGAACACTGATCAGCAGAAACTACAAACGACTGAGAAACACTAAAACTGTCCAGATCATATAATGTTTGTCTTAAAGAATCCATTTATAATTAGTACCAATCGAATGACCCTGTACCTGTAACTCAATTTTGAAATAAATGTAATCTCCATTATAATGTAGACAAAAGTATGTTTTTATAATTATCTGTATTAAAATAACTCCAGGGAATTTGTAAATACAAGTATATACCTCCACACTTGCCATAAAACACGCATTGCCACTCATTTTTATTATAATTCTATATATTTTCAGTAACAATAGCTTATTTAAAATAAAGTTATAACGGTGTGTGCATCGAATCATTATGTAAAAAATCAAATATAAATAATAATTTAAATAAATAGCAATACAAAAACCAAATGTAGGTACATGCAAAATTAAATATTTATTAAATTTGATACAGAAAATAGTCATTCCTCTCTTATTTTTGCTAAGTCTGCCTCACATTCAATGCGAATTAAAGGGTTACCTTCCATTTTTCTTAAATAAACTTTCCCATGAGCTGACCAACAGTAACGATAATCGTTAGACTTTGCAAAACCCCTTGCTAAGTATAAGAGCATCTTTATTTTATTTGATAAGCACTCAGACACATATACAGGTTTCTCCGGCCCATCGATGCCGAGATCCGTAGGAACCAATTTTTTATTTTTCAAGTTGTGTTCTTTTACTGAACTAAGAAATTGTTCCTTTGTGATTACACTAGCAAACTTTACAATTATCGGTCTTTGGGCCATTCGCACCTTGCCGAACCAATCAACAGGAAACTAAAGGTGATCGCATAATATGTCTGCACCGTACGAACCGTACGTACCAAACGCGCAGCATTTCCGTATAGACTACGAAATGCGGCGCGTACGGTGCTGATGGAAGAGTGTGAGGTTTTATTACAATTGCATACAACGAATTGTAAAATTACGCGTACGGTGTGGACAAATGTGCGATCACCTTAACTCGTAGTCCTAACAAAAAGTAGTGTTATTACACGGTGGTAAATTTTTGCTTCCTTAATGGTAGTTCCAACTAGAGTGGAAAATCCACTGACATTAAATTTAAATACAACGTCAGTTGTTAATTTCTTCGCTAACCTAGGGTTAAGTTAACACGGATAAGGTTTACCTCTCAGTGGCTGGTTGCATTTAATTTAATATTTGATTGTAATTTTTATAACTCCAGGAAAATTACTGTGAAACTGACCAACCTTGATCTTAAACTGTATAATTAATTACATTTTTTATCATTTTTTAAGCATTTAACTGCTAGATGTTGAAATCTACAGAAAATTGTAGGTAATTAATGTTTATTTTATAAACAAAAAGTGCTAGATTAACCAACCCACATCCCAGCATACAAAAAAGATAAAAATCGGTTTGTAATTGTACGGAGCTATGCGCGACAATAACAAAAAAAAAAAAGTTGAATTTACTTCGTTCTTTGTTTAAGTGGTTTAAAAATAAAATCCTATTTCTTAATAACAAATCCACCTAAACATAAAAAGTATCTAAAGTGCGTTTAAAGTTAAAGAAAATAATAAAATTTAGAAGCTACGTATAAACCTTAAGGGCACATGTTAACGACACGATTTTTCGCATTTCTACTGAGGACGTGATCCTGATGTACTAGTGTGAGCGAGCACATAAAGAAAAACCAGAAGGAAAAGCTCCACATTTTTTTCATATTTTCACATCTTCAGAACTGCATACATATCTAATATAGATGGTTGTATTTTTATATTTTGGGGAAGAAACCCAGGACTCTAGATCTACAGGTTAACAATGACTCGCTTATAGCATTTTTGAAGCCTGTGATACAAATGGTACCCCAAAGGATCGAATGCTAAAAAAATAATATTTCTAAATCATCAATACGTAGGCTAGAATATACAATATAATATAAATATTTCCAACACTCACACCAATTAGCCTAACCCCAAAGTAAGCACTGTAGTAAGGCTTGTGTTATGGGATATACTAGGGTAACGGATAGAATACATATACTGTACATGTATAAGTATATTTATATAGAAATAAATTTAAACATCCATGACTGGAGTACAAATGCTCGTATTCATCACACAAGCATCTGCCCCCACCGGGATTCGAACCCGACCTCACGAGTCGGCGACACCATGAAACCTGGCGTACAAACCACTCTGCCACGGAGGTCGTCATATATAAAATATGCATACCCTGTTCTATTTAAATTTATTATTTAAGGATGACAAAACAAGGCGCCTTATTTACGGAAGAAAGTCTCAATGTCATGTTACGTACGTTTATATAAATTTTGTACGTTTATATAGGTATAGGAAAACCTGAACACGAAAATGGGGAGCGAAAGTGAGCTACACAGACGGCCGAGCACCTGCACCGGCCATTTCTAGGGCGTCGGGCGAGTTTTTGCCACAAACTGCTGTTGTCCGAGAGAGTTGGCGTGCCACAGCTAGCCTCGGCGTTACTCCGATACGGTCCGTCGGCGGCGCGGCCGGTTAGCGAAGCCACGCGGCACAAGCCTCAAACTCCGATATATCTCGCGACTATTGTGAATTAATTAATCTCTTTAGCCAGTGTCCAAGTGTTTGCGGCAGCGAAAGCGGTCAAGTGTCCAACGTTCCGGTACAGTGTGTAGGTGTGTTCCCCGTTAGGTGTTGTAATGGTAATAAGTGGTGAAGTGTCGAAACTCGTCTGATGACGAGCCTGGTGCGGTTAACGTGTTCATGCGGCTGCAAAAAACGGGCACACGTTCTTCTTATGTAAGCCTGAATCGGCAAATAAAAAGTGAGTACTTCTTTCTTGGATTGTACGCTTTTATGGTTTGCATGTAATATGAAATTACATTAGTGTAAACTAATGTAATTTCATATTGCAAGCATTGCGGTCGGTAACGACCGATTTTTTTCTCTCAAAAAACTCTATGTTACTGCTACTATGATATTCTCATTTTATATTCATAGTCCAAGAGTCAATCTAGATCATTATCTCTTATATAACGAGTCGGGTTCAAAACGCTGAGTACTTACTGCTCTTTGAGACAAAACACTGCCGATTAATCAAAAATTCTGCCCTAATTAATTTCTGAGAGCGAGAACCGGTCAACTAACTGGTACTGTAAAGCAATGGGTATTTCCAGTGCGCTATTGGTGAATACTTACCACAATTGGAGTCAGGGTCAATACTATAAGCAATAAGAGGAAAACTGAAAGTCATCAAAACATAAAGTCTATATAGGTACTAGAGTGTAATCACTGAATCAAAATATAAATTCTTTATAATATAAGATTAAGTATGTATACTCTTGGTGATGTTGTGTTTCTGTATATATTGGTGAAAAAGGTTCCAAGGCCCTACAGCGTAGGAAACTGAGTTAAAGCCGGTAATGTTAGGATGACTATAACGGTACTTTCTCTGATGCATCATCTATTATCGCTAGTCTAGTAAGACTCCGCTGACACTTAATATCAGGTGGAGTAGCTTAGTTTGCCAAAGCTTATATAAATAATAATAATATTCTTTAGTGCACACAACAAAGGATACAAGACATAAACTTATAAAATGAAGAAAAGTATATAAAAGGTGACCTTATTGCTAAACAGCAATCTCTTCCAGGCAACCTATGGTAGGAATAATAATATGGTAGGAATAGAAATATAGAAGGGTGCAAAAGATACATGGAGCTATACTTACATAAATATAAGAGAAGCAAATAAATAGGAGGTAAAATGAATTTAAGATAAAGAAAGGAAATAGCTTCAGCCATTAAAAGAATATGATACAAAGAAGCCATAATCTAAAAACAATTAAATATTTATTCACTAGATGGTCATATATTTTAATAATAAGACATTTAAAGAGTGTAATAATACGTTGTAATAATAATAAGATTTTATGTAAGCTTAGTTCTGATTATCTACTATAACACAGACAACAGAGAGATAAAACACTATAAAATAACACTATTGATATTAAAAGGTTGCAGTCTTTGTTTTAGGGAAAAAGGTCCTCAAATTTTAGCGGGAAATTTACACAAACTTATTTTATTATTTATTCTAGTTTGTGTTCTTATCTAGACATCGTCAGTGGCACTAATACGGCATAGGTCTTAATCTTTACCAAGAGAGGTAGAGACAGCGAATTTCCCGCTAAATTTTTCCCTATAACAAAGACTGCAGCTTTTTAATTTAAATAGTGTTATTTTGTAGTATTAAGAAAAATAGCTCTGACAAATTTACAATGTATTGACGCATTAGTAAATTTGCCACAGCAATTTTTTTTATTTAATAATTTATTGTAAAAAAAAAAATACAAAAAAAATACACAACTTTAATAATAACGTACAAAACGTGTGACTTATTTCTCTAAGAAATCTTTTCCAGCCCACCTCCGATAGGAGATATGCTGGGAGACATTCATGTCGCGTGTACATCCACTAAAAACATATTAATAAAAAAATGCATGTCAACTATATGAAATGAATTATTACAAGGGAAAGAGGAATAATGTCTCAAGCCAGCAAGGTGAGGGAAACTTGTGAGGCTAGCAATATTTCTGCCACAACAGCTGCTACTAAGTATTTATGTCGAAATCCGACTCTTCTTGTTCAGTATTAAACATGGTAGGGTGTGGTAGTAGTTAATTAGAACTAACCTTACATAAAATCTTTTTATTATTACAAAAGTATCAAAAACGTAAAAACAAGAGTCAGAAAATTTGCACCTAATATTTTCAAATATGGCTCAAAAAATAGATTCTGTAGATTTTGTTATTTTTATAATAACTATTTAATACCTATATAAGAAAGAGAAATTAGTTTCTCTTTCTTTCACTAAAAAAATATATTTCCTAGCAATTTAAATATTATCCTAATGTAATGTAATGTAATATATTTCCTAGTATTTAGATACCAGGAAGTATATTTTTTTACTGAATCTAACTTTTTTTTATTATTACCAGTTTCAAAGAAATATAATTATAATGTTGTGATCAATCGCATCTAAAAACCACCGAGGTTTGAATTTATGCGATGTACGCCTGCACGACAATATTTAAATTGCTAACGAAGTTATTTTATTGCATTAATTATTAGTCTTATATTTTCAAAGATGGTTTGAAAAATAGATTCTGTAGATTTTTTAAATGTTATAAAAACTAAGAAAAACTTATATAGCAAAAAGAAACTAAACACTAGATAAACACTAATAGAAACTTTTGCAGCATCTTTCATCAATATTTGCAAAGATGGCTAAAATGTCGTCAACGGAAGTGTACATAATAAATAACGTTTCTGTTGTCGGCTAAAAAGTTCGTACATCACAGTGTGAAAAGGTACAAAATTAGATGGAATATCATTAAAAAAGTTCACATAGTACTAATAAAACTTTTTTCTCTAAGCCACCAGTTTATAAGGCTTTGGAAAACATAAAAAGGGAAAGTTTTGTTCTAAATTTAAAAGAAATCGGAATGCCAAACTCGCTGAAACTTATTATTAAAGCCTATGTGACCAATCGGAGGGCGCGGACGTTTATATATTTTGTTATGAGTAGTTTGATGGTGCAGTGGTGAGCGCGTTAGTTCTCCGTTTGCGAAAGTTAAGCAAATTACAAAATATCTGGATATTGGATTGGTGACAAACATTCATTATCTCGAGCTCCTCTGCGCTTACAGCGAGATTGAAACGATACGAGTAAATACTTACACGATACATACATTCCTTCCGATACCAAAGTGAGTTAGTATTTTGCTGTATCTGAACCCATTAGCACCAACCATTGCGCACTGGGCCTTCGTAGTAGGAAGTCATGTGCTCATTTTCACTATTTTATCCACAGGGAAGGCCTGAGCCTCAGCAGTAGGCCAATTTATTTTATCGTTATCTAAAACCGTTTGCAGTCTAAAGGTTTATGTAGCGAAGGCTTTTATGAAGAATCTTTAAAATAAATTGAGTTTGGAGAAACTTTAATACATCAATGAAACATTATTCGATGACTTGAGATATTTTTTAAGTTTAAGCGAGAACACCAAAGTCTAAAATTCATTTTATCAGTTGAAGTCATTTTTAAGCTTATAAAATACTTGCATAAGAATATTAGGGTAATAATGGGATGTCGTAAAAGGGATGTGACTCTTAAGGAACAACGTGTGCAATATACTTAATTGTGTTTTATTTATGTACTAAATGATCACATATATTACACCTTACTAGGGCCCGTATTACAGAATGACAACTAAGTGTCGATCTTTACTTGAGTACAGTTAGCTGGGATATCGCTACGTGCGATATATAGCGGCATCCCTTTCTAACTATGTCACTCTCGAAGTATAAAATGATTATTATTTATTTGCTTCGCGCTAAGTTGAGCAATTACTTAAGTAGCCGTAACCAAAACCCCCCAAAAGATGAAATGCAACATAATGTACACACACGGTCATGCACGCACAAGCACTTGAGTGACAATAATGCTGACTACAGTATCAATACCTCACAACCAAACTCTCATAAATAAACACATTATATCCATATTCTGCGGCTGAACATGCTAGTTCAGGTCAAGTAGGCTGATAAAGGCGAAAGTTTGTGAGTGTGTATGTTTTTTACTTCTTCACATCTAAACGGCTGGAGCGATTTTAATAAAATGTTGGTATGGAGTTAGCTGGCACCCTGGATTAACATATAGGCTAAGTTTTACTGCGGGAAAATATCCCTAATAAACTGCGGGTAACACCGCGGGGCACAGCTAGTTTTACTATACAGATTACATTTTACGTTGTTATTGATGTTTTTAACGTAAGTCACGGGTAGCGTAAGTAATAAGAACATTTACGCATACCTGCGCCTTATTAATGAGTAAATGGATCACGGTGTTATGAGGGAGGTAATTACACTTTATTGAGCTCATAATCTTAGATACCAAGGTGTTATGAAAAGCGTTCGTTTCCGCCTGAAATCTCCCGGATGTAACAGGCAGGTGTAACATAACGGGTTAGGTACAAAGTGGAAAAACGAGCGATCTTTTTTTTTAATAGTCTTACGAACTCTTGTTTGCCTCTTGGCTCGTTGCCAAGTTGCCTATCCCCCTTTGTGTTGTTTATAAACATTGAAAAACACTATGATTCGTTCAACCGTTGCTTCAAGTTTAGTAGTAGATCTGGAAGTTTTGAAGACCTCCTTAATTTTACGACGTCTTTGGTCTTTACGACTAGGTACTTAGTAGTACTGTAACATTTGGAACAGTCAGTCTTTTTATGTTCTTAAAGCAGTTTAAATGAGTACATTGATGGTCTATGTTACATTCGTCTTTGTCAAACAAAATATGTGCTGTATTGCACTCTTTGGAGATTTCTACATTTCCATCACTATGACTAGTATTAGGTATACGATATACAAGTCGATTTTTGAATACAAATACTTCTATGCGAATCTTTAGTTACCTCTTCCGTACCCCTTTAAAAACTGCCACAACAGCTCTGGAACTGTACTTCACGAATTCGGCACAGTGTTGGCTTGGTCTAATCAAATTTTACATCTCTGTCATACCACGTGCGACTACCCGAGGAGAGTAAGGACACCTAGGAGGAGTCCGATGGCGCAAGTGGTTAGCGCGTTCGGCTGCGATCGTTGAAGTTCGGCAACTTTCGCAGTGGTCGGTCATTCGATGGGTGACCAAAAAAATTTACTATCTCGAGCTTCTCCGTGCTTCGGATGGCACGTTAAGCCGTTGTTTCCTACTGCATTTGCAGTCGTTAGCACCCACCAATCCGCACTGGGCCCGCGTGGTGGCTCA